TTGTGATCCCCTAAATAAACAGGTGCATGCTACACTACACACTGTTCTTTTATGTAGCAAATAGGTTCAGCAGAAGCAATATAACAGGCCTCTCCGTGAGCATTTTAGCGGGCGCGTGCTCAAACGCGCGCCTCGCCTTGCTAAGGCGCGCGTTCTACCAAAAAAATATATTTACGTTAAAGTAGACAAAAACGGCATGTTTTCGCATGTAAATACTTTGTATCTAGAAATATCTAAACAAACTACTTAATAATGCACTAAAAGAAAAACAACACATTATTGTTGCAGTTCGTCAATGTCCAGCTCAAATTCCGATGAAGAATCGGAGTTAGAAAAAATGGAAGAATCGAAATTCGTTCCATTGACGTATGATTCAATTGCTTTCTCGGCACTTCCTTTACAAAGAGGATTTGATAAAATAACGCTTTTGTGTTTTGAGCAAACTTTACACCAAATCGAAACCACCATTGTCTTCCCATTCCTATCTTCGGTCTTTGATCCGCTAACTTCGTCCTTGCGATACTTGCGAAAGCAGATAGCTCTATGGCTTGGTCCTTTGAATTAATGGCCATTTAAAAAACTTATAACAATCAGGAATCACAATGACAGTTTATTGGTTACTGACCGGAAATATATTCAAGAGGTGTTTGATTTAACTTGGCAATAACAATTTCCTCGAAAAAGGGATTAAAAGAAGCAACCGTTTATTTAGATATCAATCGATTTCGAACCCGCAAGGCTCTTTTTATAATAATTGTTCAAAACTAAAACACAAGGGGCGCGATTTAAAGGGTTCTTATAAACCAGGCGCGTGATTTATTGCGCGTCTCGGCAACGATAGGAGCGTGCCAAGGCGCGCGCGCGTGATCGCGCGCCTTAAACGGAGAGGCCTGATATAATACAAAATTGGTGTAACGATATCCTAAAGGATAATGAAAAATTCCACTATAAATGTATGACCACATCAATGGCAACAAAATTTATGGTTTCAAATATATCAAAACAATGAGTTTCTTGTCGAGCAACTTATTTTTACAGTTTGCTTAAAAATAATAAAACTTTGCCTGGCCACCAGAATATTATTTTTGTGTGCCACAGAACCAAGGGTATTATATTTCTTGTCTCCTTGCACTATCTGAAGAACCACAGATGGTACTATTGTGACATGCAAAATTTAATTGTTATCCCTCATAACTATTCTAGACTTCAAGCCCACAAATATTATCTTAGCACACTGATTTTCCTTTATTTGTTTGTTTGGTTTTATTTGTTTGTAATGATTGAAAATAAGATTTACTTTAGGGCACCAGCTAAAAAACATATCACCTGCTTGTCAAAAGTAATATCTATAAATGGATACAAGCTCTTTTAATAATTGTTGCCCTCAGTGCTTAAGATTTTGTTCAATCAACACCTATGTTTTGCATTATTTTGAAAATTTATATTCCCAGCTATGAATTGATAAACCTCATTAAGATTTATTCTTTCAAATCAGCATGCTATCATCAGATATTGCATCATTGAATTTTGCAATTACTATTTAAAAAATTCTGAGAATTTTCCTTTATAAATCCACATAAAGCTCTTGGGAGAGTTTTGTTAAAAGCTTAACACAAATCTCAGCAGGCATTTTAAACAAAATGCTTGCCAATTAATTATTTATTTATGATGGTTTTTTTATTAGGTCTTTTGGTAAAAAATCAATCCAGAGATAATCCTCATGTATGTTTAGTACATTAAGAATTTATTTGCCCAGTTAATATTTAATGCCACCATGCCTTGTTTTTTTGCAGAAAATTATGGCATTTCATATTTTTAGTTCTTTACACAATGCTTTTAAAGTTTGACTTTTGTGCAATATTTATTTTTTTGCTGGTACAAATGACCATTAAAGTAATTGGTTAAGGGTTGGTTAAGTTAAGGTATTTTTCTTTAGAGTTGTTGTTTGTGATTCCTAAATTAGTAAAATCTAACATCAATCTTTTAAATCTTTCAAATATTTTCCTTTACTCGTATTTGCATACACAAAGCAGTTTTATTCTGAGCCTTACCCTGTTCATCTCCTTCAATCATTAAAGTCTTCCCTGTGATTCAGTGTGTTGTTTCCCACTGTTCAAGACTTTTTCCACTTTTTCCTGGAACTTAACCTTTATCATGTACAACATCAAGCTTTTAAGTCTATCAGCTATATTTTTTTATTTTTTGTTAGTTTAAGTGTTTGCTAATTTAATTTTTTCATAAGCAGTTTGTAGGAAGGGTATATTTAAGTGAGGTTTTATCTTGAACTTATCTAAAACTGTAGGACAGCTTATTTTTGTCAATTAAATAGTTGTTATAGCCCAAAATTTCGTTAATACCTAGGTGTTGAACATGGTCCAGTTGGAAGCGGCTAACATCAAATTCAGGGCAGGTTCTGGCACAGGATCACGAAACTCATCTAGTGCTGACCAGCAGAGGCTTGATAGATCGCAAAGGACTCACATTGCGTTTGGTTCCCGTGTCGCAATTCCAAAACGTGCATCAAGATCCGGCAGCCAACCTGTTGGGATTGAACGGCAGACATCTTCTGCTTCGTTGTCAAGTAGCAGTGGCCTTGCTTTGAATATGTCCCACAGTGATCTTAACGAAAGTACGTCAAGTATACCGCAAGTTGAAGTTCAGAAACCGATACTGCAACCGCGTCCGCCAAAACCAGCCTCAGGAAAAGCGGTAAGGAGGCCAAATCCGCGAATAAGGAGTGCAGAGAGCGCAAGTCTTGTCAAACGCGCGAAACTGAAAATAGAAGCTGATGGAACCGGGGATGAATCAAGAACGGATCAAAGTGAAGTTATTGATAAAAGTACCGCCAAAAATCGCATCTCGGATGACGCTGATCGAGAGACTGATAAAACACCGCACGGCAAATTAGATGAGAATAATAATGCGAATGTTTTAAATGAGAAGAAAAATGTTGATACAACAGTTAGGAGCATGTCACAGAAAATGATAGGAATGAGGATGGGTAGTCAAGAAGATGAAGACGAGTACTTCAGAACTCGACATGACAGTGAAAGTCACGAAGAAACTTCACGATCAAAGGACGGGAGTTTCTCCTCTACCGCTGAAAGTGACGCGTTTTTTCTGTATTCCTCTCGACCGCGCTCAATTACAAACAGTTCTAGGAGTAGATTGAATTCGGACAGCAATTCGAAATCAAATGGTGTACCTGATGTTGTAGTTGAAAAGATTAGCCCATCAGAAGTCAATGTTTTTGCTTCACTGGAAAGTGATTTTCACAAGGAATCTTCAGATAGCGAAGGCGAAGATCCGATTACACGGATGCATAAACTAGGGGGCAATCGAAGAAATAGTCCATCTCCAATCCTCGTTGATAGACAAGGAGAAAATGGAAAAGAGAGGATTCGAGGCAGTCTTATGAAAGAGGTTGGTAAACTGTGTTACATATGCTTCGATAATCTGTTACTTCTAGTGCCATACCTTGACGTTGTTTCAGTAAGATTTCTTTAGCAAAATACCCATTCATTCATCAGGTTCTTTAAGTAACAAAATCTTATTCTTACATGTCATGTTCTGATTTAACGATTTCGGTTTTTTTGGCCTAGCGGGACTATCACGATCGAGTCGTTATTTCTTGTGCTTACTTTGCAGATTTCACCCCCAGCAGCAAACCGATATGACCACTTAAAGTATCAATCGGTACAATCCGACTCCATGTCGTGGATGTACGACTCGGACTCCAGCCAAGTCGTGTCCCATAATATCAGCGATCACAGCTTTAAGCAGCAGAGCAGTCCAATCAAGGTTGACAATGACAAGTCCCCAAGAATCGCTCGCCTACGAGTTCTAGACGCCTTTTCCGTTAGCAATGAACATGGAAGCGACAGTGAAGATATTTTATCAGATGATAGTGATGCAACGTCTTACAGCACTTGGAAGGAGCCGCCTCCGCATATCCGTAATTATAGGTATCAAGAAGAGATGCGAGGGGTCGGCATGACTCTGGATTTGTCTACAACACTTCCAATGACTCCTTATATTGAAGAGCAAAGGTAATGAATCTATTGTAAACATTGACAGTTTTATTAAATATGATTTCAAGGCAAACCTTTCCAACTGTTAACTGTAGCAGAAAAACAGTTTTTAAGGAGGTTATAATGTAAAACAAAAGCGACACCATAGTTGAGGCATACTTCATTGGTCTAGTCTTCTTACGACTCTTTGTCTCTTTGTCTCAATTTCGAATCTTAAAAATAAAGCTATCTGAAGGCTGTAATTTTATTTATCTCTTGTATGATCTATTTATGTAACTGTAATCCTATTATCCTCGATTCAAAGTCAATGCGACATTTTCTGTTACCCAGAGCAAAATTTTGACACCACCATGGCTAATCAGCTATTTTCTTGCAAGTTCCTGGAAGCACAACCCATTTTATTTTACCTTGTATTTCTGTCATTTCTGTAGCTATTACTCCAATTTTAACTTGATTTAATCTGTTTGGTATTTGCAGGTACAATAGCATATTACCATCTCTTCGTTGCGTTTTATTTTGATAGCAAAAGTCAAATGGGGCTTTTGCTTGCCTTAGCATCAAGCATCTTCTTTTTCAAAACTTTGTTACTCCCGAATATTTGCTGCCATTCCAGTTGCGACAGATATAAGAGATATTTTCTGAAACATAACTTCTATCAAACAACCTGTATATCACATTGTATTTTGGATGCTTCATACGATATTCATATTTTCCTTTTAGCCCCATAAAAGAAAAAACATTTGACCATGTTGACGGAGAGTTATCATTCACAGGTTTGTTTTTTGTATTCTATGTTATTATTCCCGATATATTCCCTTTGAAATCCTTACTGGCCATCCGACAGCTTCATTAGGATGTGAACAGAGGCTAACTCAAGATGGTTAACGAGCCATTTTCGTTCCTCCAAGAAAATACATTAACAACAAAAATTTGGTCGGATAAATTTTCGGCGGATAAACTTCGTCGAAACAAATTTCGGACAACTTTTCAGAATTTCATCGTGACAAAATTTCTTCGTGGATTTTTAACACAGAGAAAGCAACATATTACCAAAATCTTAAGTGACAAACCCATACAGGTTGCTTTATATTCAATCCATAGGTACATACTTCGTGGAGACATGGGGACTTTCCCCCAGACAGCTTTTTTGATTTGGCTTAACCCTAGACAGCTTTTTTACAAAGAGGCTCATGCCAGGAAAATCAAATAAAAGCGGTTATTTATTCAGTTTATGCAAAGGCAGGGTCAACAGAGATGCTTTTAGCATTCAAAGAGTCTCTACTCTATTTCTAAAGGGTATGACAGTTTATAGACAGAGTAAATTAAAAGTATAAATATAGTGTGAGTATAAGTATAAGATTCGGAAAGCATAAGACCATCTCCAAAAGAAAATGTTGGTCTCAAAATTGTGCTTCCTGTAAAGTTCAAAATTTGGGTTGAAAAATTCAAATACCTTGAAAGAAATAGTACAGTTGAACATAAAAAGACAGAGGTGGGATCCTTTGAAACCGGCGAAAAAATTGTAACAGTAGCGTAGCAAGGGTGGTAAGATTTGGGGGAAGGGGATTGGCAAAAGCGAATTGAGCAGGGAACATTGGGGTCCTCACCCTTTTGGTCAAAAGATAACGCCCTTTTTCAGCCATGATGATGATGATGATGATGTTGATGATGCGAATTCTCAAAAATCTTAAATGCAAAAAATTTCGTCATGACAAAATTTCGTTTCATTTTGAATTTAGTCGAAGAAATTTTCGTCAAAATATTTGTCCAAAATTTTGTCACGACGAAATTGTTTGTAGTTAATGTAATTATTAGTTCTTTATGAGACTGTGAGATTACGTTCTATTTAAAATGCATATTGACTCAACATAATGGAAAGGCGTGGAGACATCGTTTATTCCAATAATGGGTGTTTGACCGTTTTCTAATGAAAAGTACCTCTTATGCTATAAAATGATGTCCAATTTTCGCTGGGCCCCAACTTTTCAACACATTCAACACAATGATCGCCTAGCCTTTTTTCTACTTGAATTACATATTCCTATTTTCTTTTACAGAATCTGAAAAGATGGATTTGACAAAGTCACAAGATATGGAAGGAGAGTTAGAT